AGGGGACCGACCATATGGGATGCTGGGAATCGAACGCAGGTCGGCCGCGTGCAAGGCAAACGCCCTACTTGCTGTGCTGTCTCTCCAGTCCCAACCCTGTATTGCTTTTCTCTTTCCTTTACGTCCTCTGCATAGTTTAGCAATGGCCTTTTCGTATAGACACAGGAAGGCAGTTGATGCTATGCCTTTGTAACATGGGAGTTCATTGACTTCTAATATTTATTCCTGGGCATCTGTCATATTTACCTGACTGAAGCCTCAGTTGCCCTTACTTCCAACACCCCGAAAAGAGGGTCCCGGCAAGGGACTTGGATGGACCCAGGGCAAGCGGTAAGCTACCCAGGCATCAAAAAGGGACAAGCTAAGCGCCATAAGCATGAGGTGTCATGGAAGGGCCACCCTTTTCTGTTTGTTAGTTTTGCTTTTTATAGCTCTATAAAAGCCAACTCCCGGAAGAGAACAGCACAGAGTCTCCTGCCCCGCGCCTGGCTCTCCTTGCCGGGGCCCCTTGGAGGGGACGGGTTGAGTTTCCCTCCCCGCCCCAAGCAGAGCTTCGGCAGCCGAAGACCTCCAGAACCAGCCACAACCATACCGAGACCACTCTCCACACACATGAAGGTACCGGCAGAGGAACAAAGGCACGCAGGTCCTGGGGCTGAGATCTCCAAGCCTCCTCGGATCGGGGCTGAGCATCCTCCACCTTCCAGTAGGCAGGGGTCACACCCACCAACTGACACCCCCCCCCCCCCGCCCGGCGCCGTGTAATCCCACCAACGGCCAAGACCCAGATATTATAAAAGCCAGCTCCTGGAAGCGTGCGGCCGTGCTACATCTTATTATCTCATTCTTACTTTGGACAACCTGGCAGGCTACCGAATGTAATCTGCCCACATGGCAGAGTCTGGCAAACTCCCCGTGGTGTACCCAATATGCCAAATACCAGTAACAATGATGGATCTCATTCTCCTAACCCTGAAAGAGCCTTGAATATGGCACTTTTTAAAATCTCAGGGCTAGGACCAAGGAGACGTTACTGGTCCCTGCTCGAGGCAATCGACAAACAACAGGATGATCGTGATTGGTTTGCTTTTTGGGTCACACCCGGCTACGCTCAGGGGTTACTCCTGGTTCATGCACTAAGAATTACTCCTGGCAGAGCTCGGGGGACCATATGGGATGCTGGGAATTGAACCCGGCTCGGCCACGTGCAAGGCAAATGCCCTACCTGCTGCACTCTCTCCAGCCCTGGAAGAGCCACCCTTTAAGTTAAATATAGCTCTCACTGTGTTCCTACAAGATGACTAGAAATATTAGTATTTAATATGCTTGTTTAAATGGATTACTAGATAAGGAGAAAGCAATATGCCCTTGGATGGAATCCTGCCCTTGAGATTTCCTAGTAATTTAGAGTGATGACTGAACCCAGGTGAGATTTTGTCTTTGAGTTAATCTCCTAGAAGTTCCCCTGAAGGAGGGGCTTTACATGTGTTTATTATTATAATAATGTTCAATCACTCCTATGTGTACCCCCACCCTTCACGATTTCTATGTAACTCACGCTGTGAGACTTGACAACCAGCCCGTGGCCCAGTTCCTTCCTTGTCCAGTTTGTCCATCGCTGTCAGCAGGCCAGGGGAATGGTTCTCGACCACCAAGTGCCCCCATGCTTGAACTCACATAACCCATACCCTGATCTATTGGACCCCAACAGCTGCCAAGCCCGAATGTTTTTTGTTTTTGGTCACACCCAGCAATGCTCAGGGGTTACTTCTGGCTCTGCACTCAGGAATTACACCTGGCGGTGCTCAGGGGACCATATGGGATGCTGGGGATCAAACCCGGGTCGGCCGCGTGCAAGGCAAACGCCCCACCGCTGTGCTCTCGCTCCAGCCCCTCCCGCTCTAATGTTTAACCAACAACCTGACCCTCTCCTGAATGACCCCAACAACCTGATAGCAACATTATGTTTGATTTTACACATGTGGAAATGGGAGGGCCCCCACCCCCGAGGTGAAGACGCCTATCTGCCTCAACTCACAGCTCTGAAGGGCCACAGCCCCAGGGGCAGAGGACGGGACTTCAGAAACCCCCAACGGGCCCTGCTGACTCGAGGAGACAGTCCCTTCCCCAGGGGAATGCTGGTAGGAACAGCAGCTTGGGGTCCCAGTCGGGCCCAGAGCAGCTGCCCAGGTCAGCGTCCTGAAGGAAGGAGGGTCTTGGGGAAACTCAGGGACACTCCTGGGTTGATGGGGGGCCTCCAGGAAGGCTCCCACTTGCCATCTTGACTCTCAGGGCCAGGGCTAGGTGGCCCGAGCAGCATGAAGCAACCGGGTCCTTCTGCCCAACAGCCTGGACACGTGGGTGCTCCTCACTGCCGTGTGTCCACCTGTGCCCACCCACAGGGCTCAGACTCTCCCCCCAGGAGCCTCACTGCGGCTCCATCTCCAAAATCCTGTCATGGCTCCCTCCCAGGAGGGAATAGGGCTCCCTGCCCACCCTCCTCCGCCCCCAGTCCACTCTGCTCTTGGGGAGGACTAAGCCCGCAGGGGTGAGACCTGGGGAACAGGTCAGGGAGGCCGAGAGAAAGTGGGGTCCGACTGAGACTGGGAGGCTCGGAACGCGAGTGCGGACGGCATCCAACAAGGCCCCTAGCGTTGGTGTAGCGTCAGGCTGAACTTCAGTGTCTGGAACCTGAGTGGCCGAGCAGAAAGGATCCTGCCAGAAACAGCGCGTCAGCGGGGGTCTGCGGAAGGGGAACCTTCACGGCCAGCTGGTGTGGACAGGAGCGCCCCATGAAGGCAGCTGTCCACGGGCAAGGGCAGTGAGCAGGAACAGGAGAGCCCATGGGGGGTCTGGCCGGGTCAGCCAACACTAGAAACCCGCGGGGCTGCGGGGCATGACTTTGAAATTTTTTTTATTTTCTGAAATGGAACCATTGTACATTGTACAAACCATATCTACTGATGGAATAAATAAGTGAAAAATCATACTGCTGTACAACAAACACACCAAAAAAAGGGGGAAAAAAATTCTAGGAGGGAAAACCAAAAAAAATCACAATTAGGAAACTGGGAAAAAAAAGTCTTTCTAACCAGGTCCTCCGCTGCAATGGACATTCCAAAGCATGACGTCACTCGTGGGGCGCCCCCCTCCGCCCTCGGGGGCTTAGAGCCGTGTTCCGGAGTGTGTCCGCGGCTTCCTCTCCGGAGCACACACGGGGGTGGGGGGCCGCGCTGCCCCAGAGCCCTTGGGTGCGAGCCCGGCGCCCGGCGCCCAGCACAGGGGAAGACTGACTGCTGGGCCCTGCCCTGCCTGGGGCAGGGAGGTCTTAGATTCGTGGTGGGAGGAGGGGGGCGGGCAGGGGGCCGGCGGCCGGGAGTGGAAGCACGTCTGGATTTTGCAGTCTTCGAACCGCACGGGAGGCGTTGAGGCTGGCAGCCCGGGTGCCAAGCCCACCCCTGCCTCCAGGCACTTCAGAGAACGTCGAATGCCAGCGTCGTGATGTCACCTGCCCTCCACCTGCCGCCTCCCCTGCCTCTCAGCTGCCGTAGACACGGGGGTGCAGGGACCCTGAGCCGTGCGTGCGTGTGCGTGTCCCTCGGCCGTCTAGTCACCGCTTGTTTCCTGAAAAGACCCGGACCTCCAAATTCACGGTCGTCCTGGTGGAGTTTTGCTGCAGAGGAGAAAGTTCTGGAAGTTGAGGGTCTGGCGGTAAAGCCGCCGGGAGCGACTTGGCTGAGGTGGAAGCGGCGCTGCCCGCCGCCCGCGTGCTGGAGGCAGAGTGAGGGTCCCTCGCCTGCTGCTTCTTGGAAAGACAGAAACCTTTCGGCCGTGCCAACCTCAAGATTCTCAAAGTTTTTTTTTTTTCCCTTATTTCAGGAGACTTTTTTTTTTTTGCATGAGGTATTTGAAATTCAGGAACAATTTGATTCTTCTTGAAGTGCAGGAACTAGACTGGCTCCCTTCAAAAAAAAAAAAAACCAAAAAATATCAGAGCCGGCCCTTGGAAACTCTTAGGAAACCAGATCCGGCAGCCGCTTCCCGTGGTGGTGGTGGCCGTCAGAGTCACACTCCAAGGTGGTACCTGAATATGCACCAATTAGCAAACCAAACCCACGCCCCACCCGACTCCAGGGGAGTGGGGGCTCCAGTGCAGAGAGAAAGGTCCGAGGATCCAGAGGAATTAAGAGCAAAGCAGACCCCAGAACCGAACGGGGCGATGTCTGTCCGAAGGGGCCCTCCGGGTCGCGGGCAGCGGGGCAGGCACAAGCCTCTCCTCTCCCTGGGGCCTAGAGGTCTGGCCATGGGCCTGGGGGACAGCCAGTGGCCTCCTCACGAGACAGCCCCGCGGGCAGCCCGAGAAGCCAGCGTGGCCGGCGCGGTGAAAAAAACTGACCCGGCAGGGGTCAAGGGTGGGAGGGCCAGAACATTCTACCAGCTCGTCTGTGGGGGGGTGAGCCTGAGACCCCCCGCAGGAAGGGCAGTGTCCTGACATCAGAGCCCCCGCAGCCCCTTGCCCGAGCTGGGGATCAGCAGACTGAGGGGGGCTTCCCTCCTCCAGGCCAGCTCCGCTCCCCCCCACCCTCCCGGGGAACATGACCCAGTGGGCACTTTGCAAAGGGAGACGCAAAAGGACCAGGAAAACATGCCAGAGGTCACCTCAAGGGCACAAGGCACAAAAAAAGAAAGCGGAAGGACGGGGGCCGGCGACGAGCCCCGGGGAAGCGGGGTCCAGACGGGCACCCCCCCTCCACAGCTTCTACCGTCCGACAGACGTGGAAAATAAAACACAGCAGCAACACAAATGGGGGGCTTGGCTTCCGGGGCGCTCGGCCCTCCTGACCCCGCGGGCAGGAAAGGAAGTTCCTCAGAGTCGGAGACGGCCGCCGGGGCCGGGGCCTCTGGGACCCGCACTTGGTCAAGGCGGAAGTTAGCAGTCCGGTTCGCACCCGCGAGGCTCGCCCGGGTGGAGCTGTCCGAGAATGTAGCCGCTGGCGTCGGCCGAGGGCTCGGCGGCGGGACCCGCGCGCCCTACATCTCCTCGGGGCTGGGCTGCGAAGACTCCAGCTTCATCTTTTTAGAGGGTGGCACCCCCTCCAGATCCTGCCCGAGGAGAGAGGCAGAAGAGCCGGTGAGCACCGGGTGGGGGGCACCCAGGACCATGACTGCCGCCCGCGGCCCTCCTCCCGGTGTCCCCGCGCCCCAGCCCCCAGGGCCCCCTGCCCTGGTGTGTCCCTGCCATCGCAGCTGCCTCGAAGCCCTGGTGACCCCACACTCCCCTGCGTCCCTCGGCTCTCTCTGCTCTGCACCCCGGCAGGAGTGAGCGCCCATCTCCTGACCTGCAGCCCCTGCACCCCTCACTGGCCTCTGTGGGCAGCGTGGGGACCCTCTTAAGGGCCGCCCTGGGCTCAGCATTTGCTGAAGGTCCCTCTGGGGAACGGAGCCCCGCAAATTCCCACAAGGCTCACAAGCAGGTTCCAGGGCCAGAGCGGGCTGGACAGACAGCACAAGGGTTGGTTCTGTTGGGAATCCCGGGCTCAATGCCCCCCACCCGCCCTGAGCACTGAGCCTGGTGCCACCATGAACGTGGCACTGGATGCACAGGCTCACCCCAGACACCCCAGGCTGCGGGTCCCACCAGTGGCACCTGAGCGACTGCTGGCGTCTCCGCGGCCAGTCCCGCATCCCCCGACGGCTGCCGTTCCATCTTCTCAGAGCTGGTGGAGTGCTCCATGGAGGACTGCGAGTTCTGCTCATCCGCCGCATCTGTGGGCAAACAGCACAGCAAAGGGGCCCTGTGGGTCTGCAGGGGTGTCCTGGCCTGTGGGCTGCGTGCCTGCGGCACCCCCTGGTGGCCGCCAGGACAGGGCCAGGAGACAGCCCGGGCATCACGGCCTCATTTGGGCACTTAAACTCTCCCTCTCAGAGCACCAAGGAATAGGGGGGCTGTCTGGCCTGGTGCGTGGTCCCTGAGCCCAACCAGGGGGTCTTTGAGCGCATACAGCCAGATCCCTAGGAAGCCTGACCCTTCTTGGGCATTTTCAGATTTCATTTTTTATTTGTCACTTTTTTGGGGGGGGACGCGGAGAGGGTACACAGCAGTGCTCAGTGCTGACTCCTGACTCTGCTCAAGGATCACTCCTGGCGGTGCTCAGGGGACCCTATGGGGCCGGGGTTTGAACCTGGGGCTGCCACGTGCAAGGCAAGCGCCCTCCCCACTGTACTATCGCTCTGGTCCCTTTATTTATTTTTTTTTTTGCTTTTTGGGTCACACCCGGCTGGAGCGATAGCACAGCGGGTAGGGCGTTCGCCTTACAAGCGGCCAACATGGCCGACCCGAGTTCGATTCCTCCGCCCCTCTCGGAGAGCCCAGCAAGCTACCGAGAGTATTCGATATGCCAGACACAGTAACAACAAAGTCTCCAATGGAGACGTTACTGGGCCCGCTCGAGCAAATCGACGATCAACGGGAGGGCCTTTACCTTTACCTTTACCTTACCCGACGATGCACAAAGGTTACTCCTGGCTCTGCACTCAGGGGACCATATGGGATGCTGGGAATCGAACCCGGGTCGGCCGCGTGCAAGGCAAACGCCCTACCCGCTGTGCTATCGCTCCAGCCCCTGTCACTTTTTATTCATTTATTTTGCTTTTTTTTGCAGTGCTCAGAGGTTACTCCTGGGGTGCTCAGGGGACCATATGGGATGCTGGGGATCGAACCCAGGTCGGCCACGTGCAAGACAAATGCCCTCCCTGTTGCACTGCTCTGGCCCTGCCACTCTATTTATTTTTTTAATTCTTATTAGTGAAACACCATGAGGTACAGTTGTAGACTTACAAATTTTTGTGCCTGGGTTTCAGTTATACAATGATCGCGTAGCCATCCCTCCACCAGTGCCCATTCTCCACCACCACTGATCCCAGTATCCCTCCCACCCCACCCCCCTAATCCCCCCGTGCCTCTGTGGCAGGCCATTCCCTTTTGTTCTCTCTCTCCTTTTGGGTGCCACTCTTTATTTTTAAGTTCTTTGCCAGTCCTGGCAGTCCCTGGGGCCAGGGTTGGAGGGGAGGGTGTCGCCCCTGCAGTGCCAGGGACTGAAGACGGGGGGTTTCTGCTGTGCTTTGAAGCATCTCCCTCGCCCCAACTGCACCTCGAAAACCCACATTGGGGGCTGGAGCGATACAGTGGGAGGGCATTTGCCTTGCACGCGGCTGACCTGGGTTCGATCCCCGGTATCCCATATGGTTCCCCGAGCACCACCAGGAGTGATTCCTGAGTGCAGAGCCAGGAGTATTCCCTGGGCATCGCCGGGTGTGACCCAAAAAGACAAAAAGACCCACATTAGGGGCCGGAGAGATAGTACAGCGGCGAGGGCGTTTGCCTTGCAAGCAGCTGACCCAGGTTCGATTCCCAGCATCCCATATGGTCCCCTGAGCATTGTCAGGGGTAATTCCTGAGCGCAGAGCCAGGTGTGACCCAAAAAAAGCAAAAAAAAAAAAAAAAAAAAAAAAAAAGACCCACATTAATGGAGGTCCCTGAAAGGCCAGGCATGTGAACTACCCACCACCGGAGACCCTGGGAGCCAGCAGCAGGGACAGCTGGAAGGGGTGAGGCAGGTTCCGGAGGATGGGGGAAGAGGGGGCTGCACCCAGAGGGCCCCGATCACGTCCTCTCTGGCAAGGGTGTCGCAGAGTCCAGCGTGCACAGGGGCGTACCCTCTGCAGAGGCATAGCTGTGGCCCTGGGTACAGAGTGGCCTTTCAGGGGGATGGGAACGTTCTGGAATCAGAGGTGGCAGCTGCCTAACCTTGTGAATATGCTTAACACCGCCGAGCTGTCCAGCCTTTCTTGTTTTTGCTTTTGGGCAGAGCTGGCGGGTCTCCTGGCAGGGTTCGGGCCCATACGGGGCGCTGGGGACCCAGCCCTGTTGGCCGCGTGCAAGGCCAGAGCTGGCTGTGCTCTTGCGGAGTCCTGAGTTCTCCCGTGGGAAACAGCCGCTGAGGCCGGGGAAATGGTTCACTCAGTACCACACCACACGGTCCCTGCGCTCCTGGGGTGAACCCAGAAGCACAGGCCGAGGGGGCCCGAGCACTGAACCGCCAGCCCGGTTGGCTGAGTGTCGCCAGAACTGGTTCCGGGGGACTCTGAGCACTGCTTGGGGGACCCCCACCCCCACAAAGACATCAGCCTGCTTGGACGGTGGCAGCGTTCATGGCTCGCCAACGAGCTTCCTCTCGCCGCCAGCTGGCTAAGGCATGTGCCACCACGCCAGCCCCTTCTCTGCCCACAGCAGCTTGGCCGAGTCCCAGTCAGCACCCCGGGGACCAGGAAGCTTAGAAAGCCCCCAGGGTGGCTGGTCGCCGGGCTGGCGGCAGCGCGGGGACGGCTGCTGAGTCCCTGGAGCACCAGGGCCGGGCTCGGCCGGGAAATCATTTCCCGGGGCCTAAATTTAGCGCACGGAGCTGGGCCTGACGTCAGGCAGTCCCGGCCCGGCTCCCGCCGCGCGCGGTAAACAAGTTCAGAGCAAGGTCAGTGCACCGGGTTGGACCCTGGGGGCCAGTCGCAGTTCCCTGGACGCGATGCTGTCATCGGGGGAAGCCACCAACGCTTGGGGGTGACAGACATGGGGACCCAAGACACCGTCCCCCAGCCGAGCTTCCGCGGCTCTCCCCACTCGCATCTGGGCGCGAAAAAGCCAGGTGGGACGGATCCGCCCCCCACGTGCCCACCCGTGGAAGGATCCAGAAGGCAGCTCGCATCGGGTCATGCGCATGGCTTCTCTGGCCACTCGGGGGAACCGGTCCCTCCCCAGCCCCGCCCTGGCTGCCTGCAGCCCCTGCCCTGGCAGGTTCTGGGGGTCAGGTGTGGGGGGGGCATGACACAGAGCTCTAATGGGATGACTTTTTTTTTTTGCTTTTTTGGGTCACACCCAGAGATGCACAGGGGTTACTCCTGGAGGTGCTCAGGGAACCATATGGGATGCTAGGTATTGAACCCGGGTCAGCCGCATGCAAGGCAAACACCCTACCCCCTGTGCTATCTCTCCAGTCCCCAGGATGGCATTTTTAGGGTCGTGACTGGGGCTTTGGGGAGCACCTCACGGAGGAGAGCCGGGGATGCTTCTCAACCCCAAATACGGGATGAGCTCCAGCCCTGCCCCTCTGAAGCCACGGGGCTGGGCAGACCCCACAGGGCTGGGCAACAGGGCTGAGGCTGCATGGGGTGGGCCGCCCACCCTCTGACTCCGCCCGGGGCCACTCTCAAAGCTGCCCGGCCAGCGGGCCCAGCAGGGTCGGACCACGCCGAGCGGGCGCCCCCGCCCAGGCCCGGCCATACGCGGCTGAGTGTGGATGAATCCACACCGAGGCAGGGCACTGGAGGTCAGTCAGCACCCAACAAACCCACACTGGAGCCGCTGGAGTCAGCCTGCTCCCAGCTGCCACTGTCTCGTCCCCATCCCAGCAGCCGGTGACCCCCACACTCACCCCGAGGGGCCCAGCACAGGGACTCTGCCCCGGTTACCACCCAGGCCCTTGCCACCCGGTTCCTCTGCGGGCAGCTCCCTGGTCTGCCCGACACACCCCAGTGGCCACCGTGTGCCCTGAATAGGTCCCGCGACCCCAACCGCTGCCTGGCAGCTCGTACCTTCCACCCCGGGGAGCTCTTTGCCCTCGGCCTGCGCCTCGTCTGCCTTGGCATCAGCGCCGTCCCCGGGCGCGGCGGGGGTGGGTTCGGGCGCAGGGCTTGAGTTCCTGCTGCTCTCCTGCTTGACGGGGGAGGCGTCAGCGATGGAGCTCTGGTTGCTGTTGTCATCTGCGGGCAGAAGCCGAGTGAGGTTCAGAGGAAATACACCCAGACAGGAAACACACACACTGAGACAGGAAATACACTCAGAAAGGAAATGCAGACCCTCAGGCAGGAAGTACGCACACTCGGACAGGAAATGCAGACAGGAAGTACATACACTCAGGCAAGAAATAGACAGGAAACACACAGACAGGAAATACATACACTCAGACATACATAGAGGTAGCCCCCCCCAGGGACCCCCACGGCACTGTCAGAGAGAGAGGCAGCCTCAGCACACTTCCCCTTTGGGGCCCTCTGGAACTGGGGTGTGGTGAAGGAACCCAGAGGCTCCAGGCCAGGAAGCAGTGCCAAGGCCGGACGGTCTCTGGGCCAGCGGCCCACCCAGGCAGCAAAGGAGGGAGAAAAACTGGGGACCCACAGGGGTGATCACCACAGGGGACATGCGGCAGACCCCAAACCAAGAGGACAGAAGAAGCAGGAAGAGCTGAGAGAAGGCGGGAGGGGTCGGAGGAGAGCATGTGACCCCGGGTTCCACCCGACACACACGGACACACACACACACACACCCAGACACAAAGAAATACACACACTCACATACATAGATGCGCACAATTAGACACAGAGACATACACACTCAGACACACACACACTCAGACACACACACACATATATTTAGACATACATACACACTCAGACACAGATACACTCAAACACACACACACACATCCATACAACTGGAAGCAGAAGACCGGGCTCAGGCACGCGCACAGTTGTAGGTGATGGTCTGAAACGGGGGTGGGGGGGAGTGGGCCGTGGGGCGGGGGGAGGGGAGGGACTGCGAAGGCAGGAAGGAGCGTGCGTGCCCCCTCCCCACCCCATCCACCTGTGGGGCAGGGTCTCAGGGAGTCAGACAGACCCGGAGCATGTCCCCAAGCCCTCACCCCCCGTCACCCCGCAATCCCGGGATGGGGGTCTCACGATAGCTCTCCTAAGTGGAAAACGAAGAAAGTTCGTGTCCCTGGCGTCCAGAGGAATCGGCCGAGCTGGGGGTTCCGGGGCACGCACCCTAGTCCTAAGTGCTTCTGGGGGCAGTCACTGGGGGCTCCCTATGAGCTTTTCTTTTCCTTCTCTTTGTTCTCATCGCTCAGGCTTACTCCAGGCTGCACTCAGGAATCCCTCCTGGTGCTCGGGGACCCCGAGGGTGCTGAGGCGTGGGAGACCAGTGCCCTCCCCGCTGGGCAAAGCTCCGGCCCTCCTAGCGACACTTTCCAAACCACAGCTTCATCCCGTCCCCGGCTCGGGGCGCAGACACTCGGCACCGGGGTCCTCCAGGCCTGCCACCCCTTCCAGGCTCCCGGGCCCACCCTCTCCCCGCCAGTGTCACCTCCACTCGGGCACCCGGGGCTCTGCCACCGCCCGTGACCACGGGAGAGATGTGCGGGTCCGGGTTCTCCTCTGAGGGAAGCTCCCACGCCACCTGCTGAGCAGGGGTTCGGGGCCTTTGACACAAGGACAAGACCCACTCTGCTCAGTGAAATAAGCAAGACTGGAAGACAACTACCAGGTCCTTTCGCTCAGGAGGGGCATGAATACACGAAAAAACTCAGTGGATCTAAGGTGGTCATCAGGAGGAAAGGGAGGAAGGGAGAGGGGAGGAAGGAGGGAAGAAAGGAAGGGGGAGGGAGGGGGACCGAGGGGGTCAGGGTCGCCCTTTCTGGGGTCTCCACGCAGACAGTCTGTTGCTACGACAGCCTTCACCGGTGGTGTTACTTTGACCTCACGGTGCCAGAGACCGCCAGGGCGACCTGGCAGAGCGCAGGGACTGGGGGGTCCTTCTTGGTGGCAGGCTGGGTGTGCCCACATAGCTCTAGGGCTGCGAAGTCCTAAAGACTTCGGCAGGCACTCAACAATACCAAGGGCACCGAACAAGGGCACTGAACTGGGGGCAGGGCAGGGTGAGCTACAGTCACGCTTGTGGGGGGGGGGGGGTGCCGGAGGGCACAGCAGGCCCCAGGCAGCCACACTCACCATGCATGTCCATCATGCCGGGCGAGGAGCTGTTCTCCGGGGTGGTCACCTCCGAGCCGCACTTCTCATCTTTGCCCTTTTTCTTGTTTTTGTTTTTCTGGAGCAGAAACAAAGCAGGAGTCAGCAAGGGCGCCGGGGTGAACCCGTCGCCCGCCCAAGCCCCTCGGAGCCCACCTGGACGGCTGTGCTCACCCCCGCCCCGCGCTCACCGCCAGGGCTCTCCCTGGAACAAGCAGCACCTTCTCAACCTGGGGCCAGCAGCCACTCCGGCCAGGCAGCGGTGGTGGGGGCTCAGGGCACTCAGCTAGCTGGCCATGGGGGTCTCAGAGTGGCCAGTCATGGTGGGGGGCTCAGGGCGGTCAGCTGGTGTGAAAGGGTCTCTGTGTGTTGGTTCCAATCTTTGCAAGCGGGACAGAAGCGGGCGGGAAGTGAGCTGTGTCTGGGAGTCCAGGTTTGAGCCAGGCAATGATGAGCACACGGTGGGGTGGGACAGCCTACAGGGGTCTCGGGGTCTCCCAGTCTTTCACCGTAGGGGGCGCATGCTCAGAGCATAGCCATAAGAAAAAAAGGAAATGTGAACTGACTTAAAAAAAAAAGGGGGGGGGCTGGAGCAATAGCACAGCGGGTGGGGCATTTGCCTTGCACGCGGCCGACCTGGGTTCGAGTCCCAGCATCCCATATGGTCCCCCGAGCACCGCCAGGAGTAATTCCTGAGTGTAGAGCCAGGAGGAACCCCTGTGCATTGCCGGGTGTGACCCAAAAATCAAAAAAGTAAAAACAAAAACAACACACAGGGTCTGGAATGACAGCACCGAGGGGAGGGCGCCTGCCTTGCATGTGGCTGACCTGGGCTCAATCCCCAGCACCCGAGAGGGTCCCCCAAACCCTGCCAGGAGTCAGCCCTGATGAAACAAAATACAACTGTCAAGCGTTTGGAAGGACAAAAGGCAGCACCGCATGTGGCTGGGCGGGAGGCAAGTCCTCCTCTGGTCACGCAGGGGAGCAGTACGGGGTGGGCCTGGGAACCTGCACCCGTGCCAGGGCTCCCCCAGGGCTGCCGTCACGCTGGGCTGCGGCTGGCGGAGAGTCGGCACGCGCCCGGCCGCGTCTGGGCTGCTGCATACAGGCGCGGGGCTGTGCTCGCCTGGGGACGCCGCAGCCAGCCAGCCGGGCTTGGTGGGGGGTGGCGAGTCGACTCCCAGCCCAGTGCTCCTGGTCCGGCTCTGCGGAGCCCCCCATCTCCCCAACATGCCATTCTCCCCCATCCCCCCGATCACAATCGCTTGGCACGTCCCTGATGCGCCTGTCTCATGCGATTCTATAATTATCTTCCCGCAACGAGATTATAAATTCCTTGAGAGCAGGGACCACATTTTCCTCACGCCTGCGCCCACCCGACAGCTAATGCTGGGGGGGGGGGGCGCTGATGGGGGGGCAGCCCCACCCCGCACCCTCCGGGGGTCCCGGCGGCCAGAAGCAGAGGGACGACATCGCCGAGCCTGGCGCAGAGGTCTGTGGTCGTGCAGGGTCACAAAGGATGCGGCAGGCCCTGCCCTCGCCACGCCCGCCAGGAGGCCAGCCTCACTTGGGCACGGGGGTAGGTGGACGGGGGAACCCACTGCTACGGGCAGGTCGCCTGGACGGCAGAGCCCCGGGGGGTGACAGGCCCACAGAACAGGCACTGCTCCAGGCCGGAGAGCGGGACAGCTGGCCTGTGGCCAGCAGGGAGGACACCTGGACAGGCCAGCGGGGCAGCGGGGCTCCCCCTAGCGGCCAGAGGAGGCTGACTCGAGCGGGACACAGGGACCCGCTCTGTCCATCCAGCGCTGCCCCCAGCACCGGGCACCGAGGGTCCCGCCAGTCACCTCAGCCTTGAAGAGATGACTTCTGGGGGCTGAGAGGGAGGGTCACGGGGGATGGGCCGGGGACAGCACCCCCACATACTCACATCGTCAACCTTGGGCTCCGTCACAGGGACCCACTTGTAGATTCTCAGGGACGTGTCACCCACGGTCACCCACTTCTTCTCCCTGCGGGATGAGGAAGGGCCGTCACCAGGGCTGTGGGCTGGGTCCACCCCCCCCCCCCACACACAGGGTGCAGAGAGGGAGCTCCACAGCTCCACCCCGTCACCAGAGGCTCCAAGTCTGGCCTGTGGGAGGGGGTCACCGCAGGGGCCTCGACGGGGAGGGGTGCCCCAGGCCCCCCACTCCTCGGTTCTCAGGTGAGCACCTGCACCCCCCTATGACTGCCCACGGCCTCACCCAAAATAAGGAGGCTGGGCCAGGCTGAGAGGGGCGCCTGGGAAAGCGGGAGGCCAGGCCACCCTAGCGTCACTCCCAGAGGACAGCAGCTCTGCCACGTGGGGAAGGGCGGGGAGGGGGGCGCTTCAGTCGATACGCGTGAAGGGCAAGAGGAAAAACCGCCGTCCAGTCCCCCCGCACCTGGACAGGAGCCCTCGGCCCCCCAAACAGGGACCCAGGCCAGAGGGGCATCTCTGTTTGGGGGTTTTTGTTTGGTTTCGGGCTTCACCCAGCGGGGCCCCGGGGATGCCAGGGCGCAAGGCAAGTGCCCTCCCCGCTATTATGACCACTCCAGCCTGGGGTCCTCCTCCTCTCCGCACCCGCCCCGGCACCTTCATCCCACGGAGACTTCTGACCGGCTGTTCGGGTATCCTGCGGGCATGGCATGTGCTTGCTCCGAGTGCCCCACTGCCAGCCCCTGCCGCATCAGGCAGTGCCAGGGCCTGGGAAGGCCACTCTGGGGGCACACGAGCCTGCCCCCTTCAGCCCAAACAAAGCCAAGCAGGCAGGAGTCCTGCCACATGCAGGAGGGAGGCGTGGCCGCTGCCCGGCTCCATGTGTCCTGGGCTGGTGCCAGGGACAACGTGGGCACCAGGTTCTCTGGGTGGGGGTTGCTGAGGGCTCTGCCACATGCCGGGCTTTGTGCCAAGCACTTGACTGACCCGAGGATGTCAACAACCCGGGAGAGGGACTCCTGCAGCCCGGAGGGGCTGGACCCCAGGGGCCTGGCCCTACGGCAGGTCGAGAACAGCACCAGGAGTGGACACAGGCTCTGAGCCCACAGTCCACCCCAGCTAGTCCTTGCCCCAGGAGTGTGGGGCCCGTGACCACGGAGCCAGGCAGAGGCACATACATGGCCAAGCATCAAAGGTGCGGTCAGTGACCCCATCAAATAAGACGAGAGTCAGCACGCGGCACCCCACGGCGCTGGACAGATGTAGCTGGGCCTGCAGGGACCTCTCAGTGCCCCCCTCCCAAGTCACACTCTCCAGTGGTCTCTCTAGCTGTGGACACCAACACAGGGGGAAGCGCTGATCGCCCACGTGGGACTGGGCCCTCCAGCTCAGCCCGGGGAGACTCCCACACCCACCCCGACCCCAAGGAGAGGCTGGCAAAGTGGGGTGGTACTTCATGGACGTGACACGGAAGCTTGGGGTCTCAGGAGCGAAGGGTCCAACAGCACCCACCCAGGGCTCTGGGGAAAGCTGAATCCCCCAAACCCACCACCGGGCAGTCAAATATACCGCCAACAGCCCTGTTTTCACTGGACCACTGGGTGCTTTAGACATTTTGCATCGATGGGGCCGGAGCGATAGTCCAGCGGGGAGGGCATTTAACTTGCACACGGCTAACCCAGGTTTTTGGATCCCCAGCATCCCACATGGTCCCTGAGTGCCACCAGGAGTAATTCCTGCGTGCAGAGTCACAAGTAGCCCCTGAGCATCGCCGGGTGTGACAACAAACAAACAAACTTAAAAAAAAGATTTTTTTTTAAATTAAAATTGTGAATCATGGGAGTAGGAGAGAGAGTATAGTGGGCAGGGCGCTTGCCTTGCACATGGCCGATCTAAATTTGACCCCTGGCATCCCATAAAGATCCCCAGCACACCACCAGGAGTAATTCCTGAGTGCAGAGCCAGGAGTAAGACCCAAGTACCGCCGAGTGTGACCCCCAAAACAAAAACCCATTATCCTCAGTATCATTCCAGGTACCCTCAGAGCCCCAGGCCCTCCCACTGGTGGGTACCGGGGCCCAGTGTACCACGATACCCACAACCTGCACGCGATGGTGCCCTGAGCAGGCAGCGGGTTTTAGCAGCCCATTCCCGGGGGGGGGGGGAAAGGCAGGCTGTCAGGGGCAGCACCCCACTCCTCCCAGACAGACTCTGACAAAACTGAAGCCCCCAGGCTACGACAACCATTCTGTTTTGTTTTGCTTTTGCCACACCTGGCTGAGTTGGGGACCGTGAAGAGTGGGGACTGAGGCCTGCGCTCCAGCCTGGCCCCTCCCAGTCCCGAGGTTGGTTTCTGCCGCTCACCCAGGGGCCCCGATACCCTCCAGTGAGCACCAAAGCTTTCGCAGGTGCCCACTTCTCAGGACTGGGCCGGGCCCCCCATGGAGCCTGCCTGGCGCCTGGCCGTGCCCCCCCCACCCCCACCCCCACCCCACTGCGGGCAGGGAGCCCAGAGCTGTGGAACTGAAGCCGCCTTCAGGGAGGAGGCCTTTGTCTTCACCATCGAGGGGACCCCCTGACCACCCAGCCCGGCAGCTCCAAACCCCAGTTCCCCATGAGCCTCACAGGACAGGGGTGGCAGCCGCCGTGGCTTTTCCCAGGGATGGGAAGGCAGGCAGGGCTGGCACAGGACAGATCTCAGAGGTCAGTGGGGCAGAGGGAAGTGGGAAAACGGAGCCCTTGGCGCCCAGACCCCCTCCAATCAGAATCTCAGTGCGGCATGTCACTGGGGGGTGTGAGAGTAAGCCCCCAACACGGCGAAGCTGGTGCACTACGAGGTATTTTTAAACCCCATTTCATCGTTGATTTGAAATTCAAATGCAACTGGCTGTCTCGTTGTACTTGCTAAATCGGGCAGCCCTAAGATGAGTCTCCCCCATCGGGGGCTCAGCTGGCGGCCCGGGTCAGGGACCAACCCCACCTCACAGGGGTGAGGCCACGTGGCACCCGGGGTCCAGGGGAACGCGGGTATGGGGAAGCCTTTTTTTCTTTTTTCCTAAGAGGGGGAAACACTCAAATTGCTGCTCCTGGTGATGGACTGTGCCCAGTGGGCACTCTCGGGCACTGGTTAAGTGCCCCCAAGCCCAGGGGTCCTCGGTGACCCCCCCACAGGGCAGTCCATGCAGTAGGGGGCCAGGGTAAGTTTCAAGTGGCCAAGGTCACAGTGAGGAAGTTGAGTGCCCTGCCTGGGAGTCCGGCAAGCGCCCTCAAACACAGGCAGCCAGGGATGGGGTAGGAGGCGGGGGCTGGGGGTGACAGAGTCGCCCCGGGGCATCAAAGGCCCAGGGCAGCAGATAGACCGGCAGAGCTGGGGAGAGTCTGTCCATCTGTCTCCCACCGAGCAGCTGCAAGGCCAGCCTCAGGAGCAGCTGTCAGGGATGGGACCAGGCCCCCCCAGAGCTGCGGGCACCCAACTCGGGTGTCACCTCCCAGCAGGGCTGCGGGCGGGACAGGGGCGCTGAGTGCTTGCAGGAGTGCTTGCAGGAGTGCTTGCAGGCCGGGTGCTCGGGCCTTGCAGTTGATTCTGCCATTTTTAAATGGCCGGGCGGGGGGCCACTGGGCACCCCACTGGCCAGGGGAGCTCCCGGGGCCCAGCACTAAGGGTCTCAACTTCCGACCGCCTCCCTTCTCACGGTTCTGGAAATTCTTTGTCCCGCTGGAGCCAAACCCAGCCCCGGCCGGGCGTGTGGCCATCTGCCTGCAGCCCTTTCCATAGGACGCCCGGAGCACGTGGACTCTATTGATTCCCGTCCTGCCTTTCTTGTCGGGATTGACTCGGAAAGGACAGCTAACTTGTGACACGGCGGTGTGGCTTTCCGGGGACCGGGGCGCGCCGGGCAGGGCACCCCGGCCCGAGCCGCCTCCTTTGCCGGCTTCCCAGCCAGGCGGCCACGGCGGCGTTGGCGGCGGCGGCGCCGCGCCGGGCCGGGGACGGACACTCCGCCCAGGACGCGGGGGCTACGCCTCTCCCTCCCCGACCCCGCACAAGCCGTGGGAAAAAATAATAATAAAAGTTGAAATCTGGGCGCCGGGAGTTTCCAACAAGTCGGCCCAAGCCCGGGGGTCGGCGGCGGGCGTCTCCGGCCTAACCTCGAGGCGGACCCCGAAAGCGGCCACACGCACACGCGCGCGCGCGCACACGTTCGACCCGGAGACTCGCCACGAGGCCCCGCGCGCGGGGACGCACCGGGGCCGGGAGCCGGCCGGCCCGCGCCCGCCGCGCCGTCCCCCCCCGGGGCCGGAACAAAAACGCCTCTCGGGAGGCCCCGGCTGCCGGGGCAGACACCCGGGCTCGGGGCCGCCCTCTGCCCCGAGATCCGCCCGCCGGGACCCCGGCGCCGGGGCGCGCGGGGCCGGGCCGGGCCGGGGCGCGCGAGGGCGCGCGGGCCGCGGGGCCCCGGCCGCCGGTCCGCCCCGCGCTCGCCCCGTCCTCCCTCCGCGCCCGGAGCCCTCGCCCCAGGCGGCCCAGAGCGCTAAATTCGAACGGCTCGCGCGCCGCAAACTCGGCAGACTCGAGGGCGCCGGGCCGGGCCCGGCCGCACAATGGAGCCGGCGCTGCGCTCCCCGCCGCCGGCCTCGCGGCCCCGGGCGCGGGAAGCCGCCGCGCCGCGCCCCGCACGGAACGAAATGGCTCCCGGGCCGGCCGGGCCCCCTCCCCCGCCGGCCAGGTGGGCGGGCGGCGCGAGCGCACCTGGGCAGCGGCCGCGGCCCGGCGGGCGCAGGTGACCGGCCCGCGCGGGGGTCGCGGCGCCCCCGGGCGCGGGCGCCGCCGCTTACCATTTGCGCACTTTCTCGATCGCCGCCATGACCCGCTTGATATCATCTTTGGCCCGGCTCCGGGTCTCGGCTCGAACCGACCTGCCCGACATGGCTCTGGCGGAGGGAGGCCGGGGAGCGCGCCCGCCGGGTCCGCTCGCTCCGCGGCGCCCGCTCGCTCACTCGCGCACACACTCGCACGCACACGCGCGCACACACGCACTCACACACAGACACGCGCGCGCTCACTCACACTCACACTCACACTCACACTCACACACACACACACACACACACAAAGCCCGAGCCGCCGCGCGCCCGGGCCCAGTGCGCAAGCGCCGGGCGGCAGCTGCCGCGAGCAGGGGGAGCCGCGCGGCCCCGGGGCGCTCCCGCCCCGCCCCGCCCCGGCCCGCGCCCCCCGAGGCCGGGCCACCCGGGACGCCGGGCGCGCGGGCACTTCCTCGGGGCCGCCGGGGCCGGGGGCTCCCCCGGGGCGCCTTCCGCGGGCGCCAGCTCGGCCGTCGGGGGCCCCGGCCCGGGCGGGGCGAGGACGCGAGTGGCCGGGGCTGCGGGCCGTGGGGGGCTCCGGGCTCTCAAACTTGGAGCCGGCGGTTCGCCACGCGCGGGGGCGCGCGGGGACACGCGGAGCGCGGCCGGCCCTCTGCCCCCCGCGACACCCGAAGTCCGCACGGCGCGTCCCTGCGGCCCTTTGGAGAAGTGGCCGCGGCGAGGCCGACCTTGCGCGTCCAGCAGCTCCCCCGCAGAGCCCGGGTGCCGAGCTTGACCGCGTCCTGCCGACCGACCCGCGGGGCAGTGAGGTGCGGGGCTGCCCCGGGAACCGCGATTTCAACTTAAGCCTTCCCGCTGGAGGTAGCCGCAGGCCACCAGGTGCTGCTTGGACCAGATGCCCCGGGCAGACGCAGCCACTGCACCAGGCGACCAAGCTCCCCTTTTCCTGGGTTCAGCGGAGTCGAAGCCGACTTGCCCCAAGTGGATTCCGGCCCACTGGAGGCCGAAGGAAGGGAGGTGGTCGTGTTAGTCTGCCCAGGGTCTGGGGGATCAGCTAGCCCAGGAAGACGGGGCCCAGGGAAGGCTGAAGGTCACGGTCATCGTCTTCCCGTCTGATCCCCTCCCCGGTCATTCAGGAACGGAGAAGCGGCCCCTTCCCAGACCGCCTCTGGCTCTCTGAAATCAGCTGCTCCCGCTCTGGGGAAAAACGTACAACAAGGCCCTTGAAACAGTCTCAGCCTGCAGCCTCTGATGGACCTGGCTCCAGATATGGGCCAGGGATCACATACCAAGTTACATCTGTGTACACATGGTATGCATTCTACATCCAGGCTCCGGAGTGTGTGTATTAATATGCAGTGCTGAGGATCGAACCTGGGCACTGCATATTAACACACACACACACACACACACACACACACAGCATCTGTAGATTGAGGGGTCAAGGGTGAAGCTCAGCTGTAGAATGCATACCTTATACTTGAGAGGCTCTGGGTTCAATCCCCCCATTATATATATATATACATATATATATTAAAGGGGGCTGGAGGGAGAGCACCAAGATCAAGGTGCTCGCCTAGCATGAGATGGTGGCCCCTGCAACTTAGTCTCAAATCCTGGCATCGATAATACCTACACCTCTACCAGGAATGATCCCTGAGCACCGCTGTGTACGATCCAAAACCCAAAATTAAACTAAAATTTAAACATTAAAAAAATTTTAAGTAAGAACATATTTGAATCTAACACACAAAGACAGTTTTCCCATCAGGCCCATGTTCACCTTGAACACAGTTCTCGCTTGCTTGTCCCTAAGTATTGCTGCATTTTCTGCTCTGAAGAAGCCTCTGTTCCCTCTCTCTTTTTCCTTTTTCCTTTGGGTCCCACCTAGTGATCCTCAGGGGTTACTCCTGGCTTTGCACTCAGGAATTACTCCTGGTGGTGCTCAAGGATGGAACCTAGGTTGGCCACATGCAAGGCAAACATCCTCCCCACTGGACTATCGCTCTGGCCCTGCCTCTGTTAAACACATACTTCCTCTCTTTCCCTACCCTCATATCTTTCTAAGTAAATTTTAGGAAAAAAAAAAAGACCTTGATTCCAAAAACAAAAACAAACAAACAAAAACCACCCAGGAAGATAAATCCTTGTCCAGGTATCAGCTGACAAATGTATCCATATGCATGCCTGAAGCGATAGCACAGCAGTAGGGCATTTGCCTTGCACGCAGCCAACATGGCCGACTCGAGTTCGATTCCTCTGCCCCTCTTGGAGAGCCCGGCAAGCTACTGAGAGTATCTTGCCTGCATGGCAGAGTCTGGCAAGCTACCCGTATTCAATATGCCAAACACAGTAACAACAAAGTCTCACAATGGAGACGTTACTGGGCCCGCTCGAGAAAATCGATAACAACGGGAAGACAGTGCCAGTGCGAATGCATGCCTGAAAAGATAGTACGAGGGGCCTTCCATGTGTTGACCAGGGTTCAATCCCCAGCTCTCCATAAGGTCCCTTGAGCCCCACCAGAAGTGATCCCTCAGTACAGAGCCAGGGAAAGCCCCGAGCACTGCTGGGTATTATCCAAAAACAAAGGACCAGGGAGATGGTTCAAAGGACTGGAGCCGCACGTCCGTCATGTCTCCATCACGTGGTCTCTGAGCACTGCCAGGAGAGGCCCGAAAAGGCAGCAAAGGGGCCAGCGATATGGCTCAGCTGTTAGAGTGCACACCAAGCACGTGTAATGTGTAATGCTGCTGGTCCTGAGACAACGTTGGGGTTTTTTGGGGGAGCCCTGGGCGGCCATGGCGGGGCTGCTCCTCCAGCCAGACTCTGCTCACTGCCTGGGACCCGCACTGCCGCGTCCTGCTCTGGAAAGGGAGGACGTTTCCTTCCCACGGCCTGGGAAGGGGCTCGTGACTGCCCTAGGTTAGCGCCCGGATGTCACAGTGCGCTCCTCCTCAGGGGGTGGGTCTCAGGTGAGACCCCAACAAACAAAGCAAGGTCTCCTCGCTAGCTCCTTCCTGCTCCCTGACTGCCCAGCACCTGTTCAGGAACCCCCGCACCTTTCTACGTTGCCGCCCGTTGGGGCCCAGGCTGCCTCTTGCGGCAGGAAGCTGGGGTGTCATGCCCGCACCCAGGAAGGCGAGTAAGAAGGTGTCGGAGCTGCTCTCAGCAGTCAGAGGAGGCTGGTGGGGGGCAGCTGGGGGCTTTAGGTATGTCCCCGAGTCAGCCCCACTCTCTGCTGGACACTGAGCTTGTGTCTGCCATGAGGCCAGTCCGGGTGAATATAGTCCACTCTCTTTGTTGTTGTTTTATTGTGGTAGTGTTTTTTGTTTGTTTGTTTTGCTTTTTTTTTGTTTTTTGCTTTTTGGATCACACTGGCGATGCTCAGGGGTTACTCCTGGCTCTGCACTCGAAATTATTCCTGGCGGTGCTGGGGGACCATAGGGGATGCTGGGAATCGAACCCAGGTCAGCCGCATGCAAAGCAAATGCCCTACCTGCAGTGCTATCCCTCCACCCTTACTTTCTTTGTTTATCCTTTTTTTTTTTTGGCCACACCTTGTGGTATTCAGGCTTACTCCTGGCTCTGCACTCGGATCACTCCTGGCAGTGCTCGGGGATTGAACCCGGGTCAGCTATGTGCAAGGCAAATGCCCTCCCCGCTGCTCCGGCCCTGTAAGAGAAGGACACATGGTTTGTGCTTGACACAGGGGTCAGGGCGAGGCTAAGTCGTGACTGAAGAGGCCCCCGGCTCCCCCCAAACAGTGTCGGGCACAGTGAAAGACGAGCAGGCAGATCACAGGGAAGTGGGGCGCCATGAGCAAGAGCTGGCTCGGACCCTTCACATTTACAAGGACCGGACTCAACAACTGTGCTTCCTGGAGAGAAAGGTGAAAATATCCTCAGGGGACAGGAAACTATTAAGAGTGACATTCCAGATTCAGAAAGCACATTTGTGAAAAGTGCCACTATTTAACCAGAGATTAAACCAATACCTCTGGGGGCCCTCTGGTGACACACACCGGCATCGTGGCAGGTGGCCGGTGGCGCTGAGTCCACGGCTACTTCCTGTGAAGCTGAGTATCTGCGTTGATTTTGTACAACAGGGACCCTTACAACCAACTTTCTAGAGCTCCACTCAGAGGCCTTTAGCTCACTTGCTTCCAGCTTCGACATCACCCCCAAAGGAGACCCCAGCTAACTTAGTCACTCTCCAGCCCCCAGCCCGGCTCAGCCCCAGCTACACATCGCTGTCTGTAATCCATGCAAGTGATGCACGTTGTTGGTTTTTAGCGTTTCTATAGGGGCCACCCGTGATACTGCTGGGGGCTGGGCCTGTTGATGCCAGGGCCTGCCCTCTGGCTGGCAGGCGTCTCCCAGCCTGAGTTGGTGTGGGACAGGCCTCCCCCACCCCCCACCCCCACTGCCCTGGAGCCGAGGGACAAGTTTCAGGGAGCCGGGAAGGCTGGGAAACATTTGGATAAATCCAGCGCTGCCAACCGCTTCTCTCTGTGCCTTCTTGCATGTACACGGCAGCTAGGAGAGAACATGGGCTCCTGGCACATGTCCGGCTCCGCCCCGTGGGTGGGCTGGGGGTTCCCAGCACCCCGGAGCCTGAGCAGCACCCACTCGCCCTTGCACTGAACCCCCAGCCCATCTGGCCAAGAATCACCAAGAGGGGCCTCTGGGCCTCACCACCAACAGAACAGACGGGCAGAGTGCCACAGGGAGTCGGTACCAAGTTCTCCGAGACGGACCCTTGAGCGGGGCCGTGTGAAGGGCTGGACACGCAGTGTCTGAGCGGGACTCAGAGTGGGGTGGGAACCCTTTCCCCCCCAGGTTGCCCAGAAATTCTCTCCCTCGCACTCCCACCTCAGCCCTCCACCCTCCATGCCATCCTTTGTCTGCCTTGGTCGGCCTGAATACCCTCCGGAGAGCTCTGGTGAGGCTTGGGGGTGGGGGCACCCCCGCTCCAGAAGGTAGAGTCCTTCCCCCTTCCCCCAGGCAGTTAGGTCCTGGATGGGGGGCAGCTGAGTAGCCACAGTGATATTTTCAAAATCAGCTTTATTGAACCATAACAAACAGGCCATAAGGTTCACCCTTTCAAAGTGGGTTTTAGTGCATTCGCAGAGTTGTGAAACCATCACCACAATCAGCTGGAGAACTTTTTTTTTTTGCTTTTAGATTCACACCCAGCAATGCACAGGGGTTACTCCTGGCTCTACACTCAGGAGTTACCTCTGATGGTGCTCAGGGGACCATATGGGATGCTGGGGATCAAACTCGGGCCAGCCGTGTGCAAGGCAAACGCCCTACC